ATATAGTCTAATCCCAGCGTTTCGCTTACCATTGCATACCCCCTCCCCCCCCCCATGTGTATACCACGCCACGGGCCTGAGCCCATTAGTGGGAAAGTACTTTCCAGGTAAGAAACACTATAGGAGCTGCGTGCCGCGTGCTACGAGGCCCCTTCTGACGCCACACTGAGCCGTTTTCTGAAAAGCATTCTTCATATGTTTTTCTAATGAAAGGCAGCTGACAAAAGGTCTGTAATTAAAATGACCTGCTGTAACATTCACGGAATGAAATCTGAATTCGCTTTTTTCCGTCGCCGCACAGAGGGCAGAACTGCGGCGCCTCACGTGGAGAAACACGCAGAGCCGACGGGCGTCCGTCTCCGGCTTGGGGGAGGCGGGGGAGTCAGGGGGGGTTGGGGGAGGGGGATTCATCAGCTGACGAGCCGAACGCCGCTCCCAGGAACTCGAATCAGCTCCGATAACGAGAGGGGGCCAGATGCGGCGTTCCCAGGCAGAGGCTCCCCGCCCCCCGTAGCCCAGGACACTCGCTGCTGAAATATCAAACTGAAACGCTACACGCCACGACACGTGCACCGCGGCGACGAAAATGTAAACAACACGCGAGCAGCAGAGCGGCGTTGGAGGCGACGAAGGGAGAAAAATGTGGTATTCATCTATCAATGCTGTTGCATTGTGAAGAAGGAATACACCACCTGTGGAGACAGGTGCTGTGGGGGGCTTCGGCCTCCTTTTCCACCTCTGCACGACTGCTGTTGAACACAACATTCGCTCAGACATCAGAGACGTGCAACGGCGAATACAAAGAACAGCAGAACGCCCGCGGCGTGAAGGCTGCGCCTCGGAAACAGCCATGAGACGCGGGAGACTCAGTTCCTCGTGGAGTTCCGGTGGATCAGTAGTTCATGGAACCTTCTGGTCGCAAAGGAGCTTATTATCTTCCATTTAGAGATGCGTTTAGTGACTTGATTCGTAACAAAAAATATGGAAAGGGAAATCTGCCAGCTTCAGTTAGCGGATGTATCGTATTTCCTCGATCCTTTGTGACAGTCGGAGCGGTCAGAAGTCTGCAGCCAGAGATTCTGACAACCAGAGGTCCGACTGTTTGACCACCGACATATTTTTCTATTAGTTATAAGATTGACTGACAAACCCTCCTGCTGACCGAGGGCGGGGGAACTGCATGCTGAAACATTTGGGCGGCACGAGTCAGAGGAAACCTTTCCCTAAACGTATATATCCACGGCCAGATGTTCGCCAGCTTTCTTCTCCTCTTCTGGACCACAAGTGCCTCGTGCGATTCTGTCAGCAGCCACCGCTCATTCCTTCGCTTGGTAATACAAACATACCGAGGTGGAGTGGCTGCGGGGACGAAATTAGTCGGAATGCGAGGAATGTCGAGCTCCAAAAGCAAAAAAACGTACCGTTCTTCTGACAGCAAGAGAACGACCCTGTCATTGTGGGCTTTTAGCGCGGACGTCACGCGGGCCGCTTGCGTTGTTGCCAGTCCTGTCACGAACAATGGCTTTAAACTAACATCCCTGTCCACCCTGTTGCACACACACACACACACACACAGCAGAGCTGATGGCTGGGCTGTTCTTTTCCTGCAGGGCGGCTCCACGCCGGGCCGGCCCTGAATGCAACACAACCACGATTTGATTAAATAAATCCGGCGCTCATCGACGGCTGTTTGTTGCCGGTAGGAGAAACAGAGCTGTGCAAAACAGGACGTCGTCTTCCTCCGTTACTAGCTGGCGACTTACGAATGAATTAGCCACACGAGATTAGCCACATAACGGAGGCACACACACACACAGCGGCTTATGGGCTCTATCAGTTCAACTGAGCGTACGGCTCGACGTTGCAGTTCAAAAACAGATGCGCGTAGCAGGCGGAGGAGGCGGCAGCGAGTTCACTCGTGGGCTCCGGGCCGGTGCCGGGGACGAAGGAGCGGGGCGAGAGGCCCAACTCCAGGATGACTCAAGCCTGGTATAATGGGCGGCTTCAGTCCCCGACGCTGGCAGGGGGGGGGGTTGCGGGGGGGTCTTACCAGCTGCCTGTTGGATGCCAAGTACAGCCGTGCCTCCCCTGTCACAACAACGCTGTCGTAATCAGCTGGAGCTGAGCAGCGACACCAGAAGAAGCACGTTCACCCCAGGACGGGACGGGGGTTCTTATCTAGAATCACATGCATTCATTCAAACAATGGAGTTCATTCAAGTCCGTAACTGTAACTCGGGTCCTCGGCGATGAAGTAGGTTTTGTTCAACGAGTGATAAAACCTCTAGAAACTACATTCAGTCTGAAGTCTCGTACTGAGTTTTAATTTCGCACAAACTTCAGCTACAGTTGAAACATTTAAAAAAAACACTCCCGCTCAGGATGATCAAGTCGTCCTTATTGCAATCAACCGGGACGATGTTGTCGGTGTGTCTCATCTGAGAGAAATGCAATCTGTGCTGAGCAAGAAACAAATCTGACGAGAGAAACCTAAACGTGATCTCAAGAGTAAGCGGTAAAGCAATAAACAAGGAGGAAATCAGGTACAAGATCAGGTACGATGCCTCCTATTTATCAAGAGAGTTGCTTTTTTCCTTTTTTGTTGTTGCTAACGATGATTGGCCAGTGGAATACTTCAAGCCTTAGAACGGTTTTATGAACCGAGCCTTTTGCATTTAAGCAAATCATTTGAGAACGATACTACGTATTATGTGTAAGACATAATTGCGTGCTGGTCCGATCCCTGACTGTGCCCATATACGACCACAGGGGCCCACATTGGAAACAAATTGACAAAAAAACTGAACTGAGAAAAAAATAAATCTGTATGCTAAACAACCAAAAAAGGACAATAAACAAAAAACTCACAAAGGAATACGCTAATACCTAGAGGGAAATAGGAAGGTTCTTCTGTGGGTAATGTAGCACTCATCTAATGTATAGCTACGGTACAATGCTGTAAAATATCAAGAGACAGCAGCCTTTAATCAATCTAGGCCATCGCAAAGCCTATTTCTCTGGAATCATCTCTGGTGACATTCGTTATTTCAAGCTACGTTTTTTTATTATATTTATGAAACAAGAGAGCCCTGCATATGTAATCTCTCCTCGTGTAATTGTTTTTTAATGAAAATATAAATGAATCATTCAAAATAACAACCCACGTTGAGGTTTAACTCTTTCTCCTTATTAAATTCTCCCTCTCTGCGATCCTCGACAGACAGTGTTTGTGTTCAGAAGGAAAAATTGGCTCCTTGCGTGTGAACCTGTAGACCGAGTGAGTCACGCTCACACGGGCCTCTGGAAACGTGCACGTTTCAACCGTCCGCTGGCGGAGAGCCGCGCGAGACACCGCGTGAGACACAGTCATGCATCGTTCAATATGGAAATCGTGTCTACGGGGAAGTGACCAATGTCGCCTTGTTTACGTTTAGCATTGTGAAAAGCAGAAATCAACTCGCACGCAGTTGAACACACTAATTTAGGGCATTGACATATGCAGCAAACAACGGGCTGCCGCTTAGAAATGCAACAGAGAAAAGTCCAGAGAATGACGTCACGTTTCCGTGGTCGGACCCGTTAGCTGCTGGAGTCGGTGTCCATCGTCCCAAAGTACAAATGAAATGACTAAAAGGAAATTAAAAACCCAAACAGGTCAGGCCTCCATCACACAGGACGTTAACCCCAGTTCAGCTACATTATGTAGTATATTTTAGGGTGAAACCCAAACAGTACTTACCTGAAATATTCATATTAAACGTTCACAGCACAGGGAAACTATGCACAAACCAAATAAAGAAGTCTGTTATTACAAAAGAAAGTTCAGATAAGGTTTTATATTTACTTTTGCCTTTGTTTTCTCTTACAGATAATTTGTTAAAAGACTGGATTGGATCATGTCTACAACCGCATTGTTTGACAACAATCCAGCGGACTGTGTGAAACACTGTTATAAGGAATAGAAAGGATAAGTCGGGATTAGTAAAAGCGTTGTGTGTGAGATATTGACCAACGCAAGTGTGGCGATCAGCCGGTCGGCCATTACTGAATAGGAAGGAATCAGGTGAACACGGCTAAAGATAAAGACAGGGAATAAATATTATCATTCATCGTTTCATCACTATAATCGAAATGATGGTCGAAAACAGCCCGTTATTTCAAGGGGACGATGCTTTGAAACCAGTTTGGAATATACACTCAACATAGTTTTAGTCTGCGTTGATGCATGTTGGGAGATATAAACCAAAGATATTCTTAATTCAGCTGCGGTAAATTATCTTTGTTGTTATCCATTAATTCACAGTTTACTGTAGATTACTGTAATTTCAGATTCGATTATTACGCCGTCTTCTATTTCCATCCCGCCCTCCTCGTGTCCCTGCTGACTATAAAAACGAGCCAGTGTGTTAAGACGATAAACACGACGATGTCAGATGTGCTCTCGAAATCAGCTGTGTTAGCCATTTAATGCCATGGCAACCAGGGCCCCCCCCCCCAAAAAAAAAGTCCCACTCGACAGACAGGCAGACAGGCAGACAGACAGGCAGACCGCCGTGTCCATCTCAACGGGGAGACTTAACGGAGCGTTATAACGCAGCTACAGCGGGGAAAAAGGGACATTCCGCGCAGCTTTTTTTGCGGGGCTTTAGTTTTTTGTTTGTTTGTTTGTTTGTTTCAATGTAGCAAAGAACCGCCGCAACAGTCGCGTCCGCAGGTACGACGCAGTTACACTGCGAGGAAAGCGAGGACCCTAACCGGCGAAGTCCGGGACCTGAAACAGAGACCCTCCGTCTTCGCTTCACCGTCGCTTTCTCAGCGGAACGTCGCGCGCAGCTCGCGCGGTGAAAAGTTGCAGCTGTCTTTTGTTTCGGGCTTCTGGGGGACGAACCGTCGCTGCCAGGTGGAGACGTTTCTCTCGCACGGACAGCACTTTTTTTCCTCCCCCCCCGTGTGTAAGAACGGCAGCGAGGGAAGGGACCCTACGAGAGGCGGCGGCTCACCTGGCGGAGATGAGGTCCCGGTTTTTTGGTCCCGTGAAGGAGTAGTTTAAAAAAAAAAAAAAAAAAAAAAAACCCAAGCCCCGATGACGGTCGAGCCGGCGCTGGTTCCGATCGAGCTCTCCCGGTGCTGCTGGACGTGTGCGCGGCTGCACCGTGTTCTCCTGGAGGGAAGCGGCTGCGGCTGATGTCACCGGGAAGGGGAGGGGCCTCGCCGGGGGAGGGGGCGCTTTTCCACAAGGCCGTGATGTCACTTTACTCGGTCAAATGACTGGATATTTTATTAGTGGTGTAAGTATTCTTTCCCCGGTTGTTTTACTCCAATAAACAGTAAATCGTTAGAATTCCGATTGAGATTTAACAACAAAAAAAAACAAACAGATGATACAAATTGATTGTTCTTGAGTTGTTTTCAGTTCCACAGAGGAGACATTCTCCCTCTTAAACTTCTCACATGGTTTCATTAAAACTTTAGTTTGAGCTACCGGTGCTGTTTTCTCAAAGTTGGCGTATCGCAGTGAACCCGCATGCGTATCACAACTTGGCTTCGTCACCTCTCTGCCATCGATCGTCTCACGACCCCTCAGATCCAGCTGGTGACCCCGTGGAGGGCCCCGACCCCAAGGTTGTGACCCACTGGCCCGACTAGCTAACCAGAGCAGACTAGTTAAAACCAGCTCCACCTGGAGCAGCTGCTGCTGGATGCAGGAGTAGTTTTGCTTTTCACTACATTTATTCAACCAAAAGTTCTTCTGTACTTCTTTATTTGAGTATTATCAACGTACTGGTACTTTTACTAAGGATTCTAATTCATCTTCCATCACTCGCTGCACAGTTTGTATACCAACATGTAATTACTAATGTGATTGTAGGTATTAAGCTATTCAAGGTCATCAGAGGTAGAAGGTTAGTCCCCTGTGAAGTACTTTACATTGGTACTTCCATTTTAAGCTATTTCATGTTTTTGTCCTTTAAATTTAGAGGCAATATTTACAAATCAATAAATCATAAAACTGACATCCTGATGTGATTAAATCCCAACCAACAAGTCTTGACAAGAGAATTTATGTTTTCAATAAAAACAGCAGCATTTTATGCAAAATCGTTTTCTACAAATGTCGTAACAACCCGTTGCAGTTCCTCTAGGAGGGACGGGTCACGGAAAGGAACATTCTCAGAATTTAAAGAAGGCCTGATATTAAAAAAAATAAAGCTAGACACGAGTGGAGACGTGTGAACGACTGGAGCTCAATAAAGTGTCCAACGGAATAATTTATGATCTGCAGTAGAAGGTTCAGAGCCACAAGATCACACGTTGATTTAAACTCCACACAGTTTAGTTACTTCATCCCTCCACCATGTTAGAAACAGCATTCTAATCGTCTGCGTCATTATGTGCTGCAGTGGAACCGTCTTTGGTGTCTCTTTTAATGAATTATTTGACTGTTTGTCTATAAATGACTTGTTGCATGTCACATTAGCTTAATTTGTGTGTCGCTACGAGCAAAGAATAATAGATTACTCAATAACTTTGAGCCAAAAAGGAGGATGGGTTTTCAGTTGTGTTTCCCCTTATGAGCAGGATTAAAAATACAGCTCTAATTTTGATCAATAGACAAAGAAAATAGATCAATTTGCTTATAAATCGTCATTGTCGATCCTTTCAAGCCGTGTGATGAATGAATGGTGGCGATGTAGGAATCGATCGACTCCGAGGCTCCTGTCTGCTGTTAATCTGACTCTGGGTTCATATCTGACTCTCAAACAGCTCATATAGGCAGGCGGTATAATCACCCACCACCAGAGCCTCAAAGCTTCTATCGCAACGAACCCAGGAAGAAATGATGAACTAAAAGTGAGCAGCCTGCAAAGTAATTTATATTCAGCGGAAGCCATCGACATGATAAAGCACTCGGCTTTTCCATGTAAAAAAAAAAGAGGGAGAGCGTGGTGTGATATTATGGCTCGCAGGCAGCTTCCAGACAGATTGCGAATGTATCAAATTCATGAGGTTTCAAAATGTGTGTTTGCACGTAGAACAAATGAAGCCGTCGCTGCAGAATACTCAAGCATGTATTGATCACGCGAAACTCACGACTTCACAGACAAAAACATACAGAGGCATCAGTTAAAAGTGTGAGTGTTTTGTTTGTTAAGCACATTATTTTGAGATTTATCTTCGACCTGAAAACAACCGAGTTGAGTTAGTCATTGATTTGTAAATGCACTTTCAGTTCCCTCCTCTGACCTTTAATTTGTTATTCAGGATCTTTAGCTTGGAGCCTCACTGTCTTGTGTCTAGTTCATGCAAACATTTACACATACTTACGCATAAACTGATTTCCCTCCGATCGGCTTCCCGCAATCGTCACCGTCGAAATACAGTAATGAACCGGGCCCCAATCAGAACCCGTCAATACCAAAACATTCATCTCAAAAGAGACCCCATGTCCTCACCTAAACCGCGTTGGACCGTGGCTGCAATGTGCAATGCAGGATGATTCCAGTGTTATCTTTAAAAGAAAAGGAGCTGGTAGAAAATGTGCCGAGTCGGTGAGAACATTCTGTGATCCGCGGTTCGTGACGGTAGAAACACACCGTTCACCGCGAGCGACTGAACCCGCGTTTAACCCGGTTAAGCACAATGAAGCGTGACTCGGCCCCCGGTCGGCAGGAGATGTCAGCTCCAGCTGCTCCGCTAACAAGAAATGCTGGAAGTAGCCAAACAAAGGAGGGAACACCAACCTCTGGGCGGCTATTGACACTTTGTTTTTCCCTCAACTTCCCACTATAGTTGAATTAAATCCATCTGCTTTTTCTAGGTCCACCTTCTCTGAAGGTGTCGCCGGTGCAGAGTGACGGAGGTGTCGTGAACTATTGTGATTTCCTCTGGGGTTTGTTTTCCCATCGTCCAGAGGAGTAATGTTTGTGTCTGATGGATGTGGGGGGGGGGAAGTGGTAGCCTTGAAACGTGACGTCTCCCGTCGACATCCTGCCTCATTGTAATAGTTTGTGTTGACAGTTTTTAGTTTTTAATGTAACCGTGACTACAGTTTTCCACTAAAATGACTCAAATGGGCACAGCTACAACCCTGAACACTCTTTTATGCTTTTGGTTTCCACTCATTTATGAGCAGACGTTTAAAAAACATGCTTGAGTTGTCTGATTCCTTTTTGAAGTTATGATTAAAAGCCCGGAGCAGTTCAAGCGCAGATTGATTCAAACGAGATTAGGAAAGCAGCTTTTAGCAACATGCTAACATCAGCATGCTAACACGGTCACACTGACAATGCTAACATGCCGCTGCTTGGCAGTCGCAACGTTTGCCACTTTCATCTTTTTAGTATTTACTAATCAGCAGGAAACACATTAAACTCATTATTCCTGCAGGTGTTTGGTAACAAACTCAAGTTTTGGAGAAAATAACCTCATGGGATGAACCAAAGATACGAGTCATCCCGAGGAGAACAGGAACCGAATTCCATGGCGGCTGTTCATAAAGTTAGAAACCTTAAATGATATCCTGGCCAACGGCAGAGGATCCCCAAAGGATTCATCCTCTGCGATCACGAATGAAGCTTCCATGGCCGTTGCTGAGATGATTCAGTCATCAGAAACCAAATGGCTGTTAGAATCTAGGTGCAACGCAATGATTTTGCCAGAAACACAGTTAGTTTAAATATTCAATAAGAAAAACACACATTGAAGAAGAAGAAAAAAGGACCTACTTTAGTTTTGTCTCAGGGACATTTCTATATTAATATTATTAATTGTTATTATATAAGTCTTTAGCTGTAGCAACAGCGCTACCAACCCAATCCTTCAGAATAAAAGGTGACATCTTTACAAATGTTATCAGGAATAAAGAATGTGCATTTAATGTTCAACATACCAAGGGATGAACAGAAATGATTCATTCCCCTCATTAAATAAAAAATAATTTTAGGAGAATAATTCATCCTGAAGTCATGGAAACAAATAAAAGCTTGAGTTCAAAACCAAAAAGTGGCGATTAAATATTCTGCTGGATCAAAGAGAGTTTGAGGTTTGGAAAAACTTTTGCGGTCGGGACGCTGTGTAAAAACTTTATTCGACGCAGACGATGTGCGTCTGCATGAAAGGAAATCTGCTGAAAACAATTTTAAATATTTAACAAGCACTCCCTGAGCAATCAGTCGCGCTGTTGTTGGAAAGAGGAAATTCAAACACACTTTGAGCGTCTTGCTCGTTGAAAGCTTGCTGAAAAGCAGGCAAACACATTTTGTATTGTGGATTTTTGGTTTTGAATCAAACCAAATACTAAAATGTTGAGTAAAGCTCTCTCACAGACTACGTTATGTCGGACCAACCTGACATTACTCTCCCACTCAACAATATCGCATTTTCAATTATGTTTGGAAGAAAACCTTTTGTTGACGGGAGTCGGCGTATAGCGAGGACTTGGATGATGATGAATGGGTCAAACAAACCCAGGACTTTGACCCCGGAGGTCTGCGTTTGTGTCTCACCCGGAACCAAAAGCCAACATTGACTTATTTGAATTGGTTCATAACTCAAGCAAAATACCAACAAATGGGGATTTAAACTTCATCTCATATTTTGCGGTGAAATAAGATGATTTGATCGGCTGAGAAATCTCTCACGGTCTCTGTTGACTGATGAATGATTGTTCAAAGATCAACATAACAAAAGCAGATAACCAAGAAGAACGTGACGTCAGACTGTTTTAATGAAGTGAGACAAAAGGACCAGTCAGGCTCATTGTTAGGCGAGTGTCCTGTTGAGATAAACGAATTAGCAAAGGAACGGTTCGGACAGCGAGACATTCAAATAACGGTCCGTCTCCACGAGATTCATCTGGAAGAGCCGCTTTCAGACAGATCCTGCAAATGGTGATTCGCGTCTCCTGATCTTCACTTATTAATGAACTCCGGAGGATGTTAATCTGCCCGTGAGGCAAATATTGAGTCAGGTTTGACCTTTTGTTCTGGACGCCAAACATCTGACTGCCTCCAAAGTTATCACGCAGATTAATAAAGCTGTTTGGAAGGAACCTATTTGAGACTGGAGGGTTTCCTCCAGTCGCGACGGCCCCCGGAGTCTCGCTCCACGTCGCTTCTTGTGCTGCGAGATGATAAGACGAGCGTTTCCGCCATGTCGGGTCGCCTCGCGAAGGTC